GCCCCCGCGAACGGAACCGAGCGGCCAGCAGCGCCAGAGGCCCCAAGCCTCCGCCAGCACCAGGACCTCAGCCCGACCCCGAAACACCCCAGGAGCACCCGCAGGCCGCCCCCTGACGCCGAGGATCCAGGTAAGGACCCCCAGGGCCACAACACCCCGACAGAAGGTGACCGAGGGGGGGGAGGAGGGGAGTATGTGGAGCCAAAGAATCCAGGCACGCGCCAGCGGACCCCCATGCCTGAGGGAAGTGCTGTGACTGGACGGCCGAGACCCCCAGTCATATGCACCCCCCTGGGACGAACCCACAGGCCACCCCGCCGGAGCGGGGCCGTCGTAGCCGACCCACCGTAGCGGGCCTGCATACGCTCGCTGGTTATCCAGGGGAGACTCCAAGGATCCGAGACATCCAGCCTGTCGCCCGGACAACACTTGCTAGAAGAATCCTCTGAAAAAAATCAGGAAGAAGCAGGTAAGAACACTGAGGAAAATTCTTAGCTCCTTACTCCTGACGCTAGGCAAAAACTGGAGACTTCTCAGTAGGTGGGGGGTTTGGCCTAGAAGAATCCTCTGAAAAAAATCAGGAAGAAGCAGGTAAGAACACTGAGGAAAATTCTTAGCTCCTTACTCCTGACGCTAGGCAAAAACTGGAGACTTCTCAGTAGGTGGGGGGTTTGGCCACCGGCAGGGGCCGCCCCTAGGCTGTAATTGGTCTTTAGTTTTTTTGTGCCTAGCGTCCTTCTCCTGCAGGTGGCGATATTACCCTACAGTACATGATCTCCGATCTGTTCCCTGTGTCCTTCAATGAACGGGAGAGAAATAGGATTTTATGTTCACTAAAGCTCCCAGATAACATTTGAAAATTTCAGTCATTTCAGGGGGTAAAAAAAAGTAGCTGCTTAACCGCTGATGAGAGCCCTGACCTCATCATCATCGAGCCTGTCTGGGATTACATGGAGACGGAAGGATTTGAGGCAGCCTACATCCACAGACGATCGGTGGTTAGTTCTCCAAGATGTTTGGAACAATGTACCTGCTGAGTTCCTTCAAAATATGTGTGCAAGTGTACCTAGAAGTATTGATGTGGTTTTAAAGGCAAAGGCTGGTCACACCAAATATTAACTTGATTTGAGTTTCTCTTCTGTTCATTTACTTTCCATTTTGTGAATTGATAAAAATAAACTAAACACCTATTTCTGAAAGCATTCTTACTTTACGCCATTTTTTTCACACCTGCCTAAAACCTTTGCACAGTACTGTATTAAAAAAAATGCAAATTGGCACTGAGAGATTTCTCATGTGCATGCAAAAATACACAAAACTGGTAGCTGCTTAATCAAATTAAAAGTAGTATCTATAAACACAAGCAAATTATCAAAAATGTATCAAATAATTATAAAAATTTACTCAGAAAATTATATAAAATTTACTGAAAAATAAATCATAACGCCTAGACAAACACTGCAGAAATTACCTGTCTTAAAAGTCTTGGGGATGTATGCTTATTAAAAATTTTAACAGCCACATCTTTGTGTTTATATACAGCTCTATAAACTGATCCAAAACCGCCATCACCTGCAATAATAGACAATTCTATAAGATTAGTGAGCAAAAAAGAGAAACAGAAAAGAAAGTGAAAAATTAAGTGGTCTGGTATTAAATAACATCGAAAAGGACACTAACCCAGTAAAAACTCAGCAGACTGCTCAAATTTCAACTCCTCGCTGTTTAACATAATATTTCTGGGCAAATCAGCCAAAACAAGGTCCGGTGCAATCTGAGAAATAGGAATTGTAGACCTTGGATCTTCAGGATTCACCAGTAAGTCTCCTGTCAAATTAAAACATCACACTTAAGTTGATAAAATCTTACTTTTATATGCATTCAGATATCTTTCTTTCTTAATGACCTGTAATCATTTTCCGGATGATATAAGTAACATGCATATCATAAGGGGCAATGTAAAAATGTATGTATATTTACAAATTGCAGCAACCCAACAGCAACGGATCACCTAAATTTACAAGTGTACCTTTATAAAAAATGTAAAAAAAACAACATACTGTAGTTATACTAATGTTAATAGTGCTAAAACATTTTATTCTACAAGTCTTTCTTATTATTTTTCATAGCTGGTAAATATATACTTTCAAGCACTTTTTCCAATGTCTGACAGGGCAGGAGGCTGCAGAGGATCGCAGCCCAGGGAGTCCCTACACTTTTCTCCATGGGGGGGTGGAATGGGGGAGGGATTCTGTAGGTAACCATGTACCACATGCTGGGGGGGTGGTGCACAGTACCTCTTTCTGGCATAACATCACTGGTTGCCAGGAGCAGGGTGAGATGCCAGCCAGAGCACCTCGCTCAGCTACTGGCAACTAGCAAAGTCAGTGAGCTGGGTGAGACGCTGGGCTCAAAAGGATACACGACACACAGAAAATCAATCAAAGCTGTAGGATAGTCCTATATAACCCCTTCCACCCCCAGCCTGCCCCAGATGTGTAGCAGGCCGTTTATGGGAGGGTCTCATGGCTTGTGATATACTATAAGAACCAGATTTTATAGGAAAGCCAAAAATCCTGTTTTATTGATTCTTCTTTACCGGACACAGTTTTTTCTTCAACGGAGTTAACATACAAAGCAGCTGAACAGAGGGGCAGACAACACAGCAAGCAATGGCTAACAGGCCTGTGGAAACAACTAATCTCAACGGGGAACCGGAACAGAAGTGGCCCATATATTAGAGGGCTATCTGAAGGACCCTGAGGCTGCAGCTAGAATCTGCAGAGGCCTCAGCATCCACTAGGTAAAGCTTAGCAAAAAAGGTGGCAGCCTTAGAGATTTAAGCTACTAAACACCTGGTT